TCCTAACCATATCATTCTTCCTTTTGACATTCTATTGTTTCGTGTCCCTTGTTTCATCTGCTTCCTTAGATTCTGCAAACAAAGTTTTCACTTTAGGATTCTATAAGCCCGAACATACCAATAATACTTACTTAGGAATATGGTACAAAGATTATTCTTCAAATCGTCCAGTATGGCTTGGTAACAGAGAAAAACCTATTATGGATATTCTGGCATTCTCAATAAGTAGTGCTGGAAAACTTATTGTAACAAGCAACAGATCAGATCCTATTGAGCTGTATGGAGGCGGAAATGGCACAAATATGACAGCCATGCTGTTGAATTCGGGAAATTTTGTAGTGAGGGAGACGAATATAAATGGTTCTGCAGGCAGGATTTTGTGGGAAAGCTTTGATTATCCCACTAATACTCTTAATCCGGGGATGAAACTAGGTGTTAATTATAGGAATGGGAGAAATCGGTATCTTACATCATGGTTTGCCTTAAACAATTTCGCTTCAGGAATTTTTACGCTAGAATGGGATCCAGCCAGACATAGATTGATTGTACGACGGCGGAGGTTGGTTTATTGGACCAATGGGGACGTGAAAAATTATACGAATGAGAACTCGAGATTGAATGTCAACGAATTTGAGAATATAGTCCATAAACCCCATGTTCTCAATTTCAATTACAATTTGACCTATGTTTCAAATGGTGTGGAGGATTACTTCAGCTACTCCCTTATAATAGACCCCAAGTTGTCACCTGAACGTCGAAAAACTCTTTCTCTATTGCGGCTGAAATTTAACGGGGATATATATGATCCTGATCATCCAGATATATCACAAGTCTCTGTTATCGTAATAACAGAGGCTGTGAATTACGGGAGCAGCCAAGTTGCAGGTATCATAATGAGAAATTTGTTTGGATACCAGGGCATTTCGCTAATGGAGATGTGAGCAAGGCGATTGCAGAATCTGATGATAATTCAAGTCTTACTGAGAGTGACTGCAGAGAGAACTGCTGGAAGGACTGTGAATGTGTAGGCTTTACGCTTGGATTGGAAAATGGATGTTCATATTGGAGAGGGAAAATTTTGACTTTTGAACAGAGTATGTTGATTCTGAACCTAAACAATTCGTTCTTGTTTCAGAGGCTTCAAACAAAATAGAATCTTCAACCAAAAGTAAGTTCATATCATTTAATCAAGAATTTTTCACCATATGCGTGAAGATATATGAAGCGATACTTCCCTTTTTCCTCTATTCTTGACGTCCCATAGAGATATTTCTTTTTCAGCAATGCGTTTGCTATCATCAAATGATAAATGACAGGATGGAAGACATGGAAAATCATTACTTCTGTTATTACTGTAGTCGTACTTTTGTTGGGCTGTGTATGGTTCATCATCCGAAAAATTGAACAAGGTATCTTTCCAATCACTCGTAGCTTTTCAAAACTTTCTTCATATTCCATAAAAATAAAATACCTATAACAATATCGGATAGCTGGAGAAGATAAGATTATAAAGAAGGTTCTCTCTATTATAAAGATAAGAGAAGATTGTGTGCATACAGTTTGACTTCAACTGAATAACTGGGAAGACGATTACAGAATACAATAAGATTCATTTCAAGAGTTGTAGTTGCAAGTATTGCAATTATTATCTAGATTGACTAATGTCTAGACATACACGTGGAAGTGTAAAACCAATATCTGTACATGGTGTGTTTTGTAAATATCCTTGAGAGTTTTTAATATCCTTATTGCATTTTTATTTTGATATTTCTATCTTTTCCAGTTCTAATTTTCTTAATGATCTTGATTTGCATTCTTATGTTGATGCTTTGGATGATCATCTCATAGGGATAAGAAAGGAGGAAGAATTACATGAACTGATGACCCTAGAGGAATATACTGAATCACATACAGTTGAAAGTGACGGGGCACAGGGTCATCATCGTAGACTATTTACATATTCATCCATCGTTGAACTACGGGCAGCTTTTCATCAACAAACAAACTGGGAGAGGGTGGTTTGGCCCTGTTTTAAGGTAAATTTGAATTGAGAATATTATGTGTTCTTTGAATAGGATCAGCCCTTTGGAGCGTCAAGTAGCCCCTGATTCTTGCGTCAGAGTATCTGAAAAGGCATTTATTGATCATTGCTACAGAAATACTCTCATTGCCTTTTCTCTTTCTTAACATTGTCCGAGATCTTTCTTTCTTAGTTACTCTTAGGACACATCAATGTTAGTCTCTGTTTAGTTCAAGTTTATAAACTATTTAGAAACACTCAAATACTTTTTATCCACACATTTTGAAGGATCTACAGGTACTACCTACACATTCATCACTCATTTCTATCTATTTATAATTTAAATCGTTTATAAACACTTACCATACATGTTCAATCTGTAGCCATTTCTTCTTTTGATAAATATATTAGTTTTGCTTCAATATAAATATGGCATCGTCACTCTCTTTGACAACATCCACTAATTTAATAATAAATGAAGTATGTGTTTATATATCAGTATAGGGAAAACCCGTTAAAGGGCAAGAAATTGCGGTAAAGGTACTCTCCTGAACGTCAGTTCAAGGAGTGCTCGAGTTCAAAACTGAACTAATACTTATATCTAAAATCCAACACGTGAATCTTGTCAAATTATTGGGTTTCTGCATCCATGGAGATGAGAAGATAATAATCTATGACTACATGCCTAACAAATGTTTAGACTTCTTTCTCTTTTGTGAGT